GATTGGGCCGGGGAGATAGCTCAGTGGAATAACCACTTGCCTGGCAAGCGAAAGGACCTGAGTTCAATCCCTGGTTCCGCCCAAAAAAAAAAAAAAAAAGATATCTTTCAAAGTGGTTAGGATAGATATACAGTTAACATTTTCTTAATGAATAGAGGGATTTGTTCTAATGGTGTTTGTAAATAGGATATCATGCCCGCATCTTGTACAGCAATTAACCACTACAAAGAATGTATGCAATGTGTTAATTATTGAAACTGTCCTACTAATTTGGTTTGAAACTGTCTCGTTGCTATTTCTCAGTAAAATTATGGAAAAGAAGTTAAGATTAGAATATTACTTCATTTGTACAAAGTAAAATTAGTATTTGACATTTTTTAATTGACATGGGGTCTCACTATGTAGTATGGGCTAGCCTTGATCAAAGTATGTAGTCCAGGCTGGCTCCAAAATCACCATGATCTTCCTGTCTCAGCATCCCAAGGGCTGGGAATCCAGATGTGTCCAATCATGGCTGGCTAGAAAATTAGGTTTTTTTTTTATTTTTTATTTAATTTTTTTGCGGAACCAGGGATAGACCTCAGGCCCTTGTGCTTGCCAGCCAAGTGCTTATTCTACTGAGCTATCTCTTCGGCCCCTGAAAATTAGTATTTTAAATAAATACAGTCTTTAATTTATACATGAAATATGAGGCTTTATAACATTATATTTTGAAATAACCTGCCTGGACACTTAGCTATTACTCCAAACCTATACACATTTTAAAATACTAATAAGCAGGGCCAGGGAGATGGCTCAATAGAACATGTGCTTCTCTGGGAAGCACAAGGGCCTGAGTTCAATCCCCAATTCTGCCTAAATAAATAAATAAATAAATACAATAGAATGAAGATGGTTAAACATTAAACAAGAATTAAAAAATAGGGATTGTCGCTCAGTGTGGTCTCTGGGTTCAACACCTAGTTACTACACACGAAAATGCCCCCAAACAAATGAAAAAACAGATCTTAAATTTCAGAACCTATTTTTTGGAGGGAGTCTGGGGATTGAACCCAAGGCCTCATGCACTACCACTGAGTTACACACTCAGCTCAACAATCTTTAAGACAAAAATTAACTACTTTGACCTAAATTTATCCTAAGATAATAAAAAGAAAAATTTCCTGTGTCCAGATTTCATTTTTATCCAGTATTGTAAAGTATTATATATAGAATGAAGTTATCAATGCAAAACGCCTATCACTAACGGCCAGGGATATAGTTCAGTGGCATAAGCACCTGCCTGGCAAGCATAAGGTCATGAGTTCAATGCCTGAACCTCAAAAAAGAAACAAAAAAAAGGTCCTATTACATGGCTTGAATGTTGAAATGAACTGTATCAACTTTTTTATTTTTTTTTGCAGTACTGAGAATTAAACCCAGGGCTTTTGTATTGAGCTGCATACATAGCCCTATCTATCTATCTATCTATCTATCTATCTATCTATCTATCTATCTATCTATCTACCTACCTACCTACCTACCTACCTACCTACCTACCTACCTATCTACCTACCTACTCACTTACCTGGAATCAAAATCAGGACCTTGTGCTTACCAGGCAGGCTCTGCGCCACTAAGCTATATGCCCAACCTGACCCCCCTCTTTTTTTCCTTTGTGGTACCAGGGATTGAACTCAGAACCTTACACTTGCCAGGCAAACACTTATTCTACTGAGCTATCTCCCCGGCCCCCAGCCTGCCCCTTTTTATTTGGAGTTTGTCACTAAGTTTTCCCAGCTAGTGGTAAATTCAACTTACCTCCACCTCCTTAACTGCTGGGATTATAGACATGTGGCACCATGCCTGGCTACAATATCAAATTTTATTTTATTTATTTCTTTGCGGAACCGGGCATTGAACTCAGGTCCTTGTGCTTGCCAGGGAAGCGCTTATTCCACTGAGCCATCTCCCCGGCCCCTCAAATTTTATTTATTTATTTTTTTTAATATCAAATTTTAGGCCAGGGAGATGGCTCAGTAGAATAAGCGCTTCCCTGGCAAGTGCAAGGGCCTGAGTTCAATCCCTGGTTCTGCCAAATATCAAATTTTAAAGTAAATAAAATGTGTGTAATAGAAAAGAGAAATTTACCATGCAGTTTAGTGAATATCAAAGAAGTTTAAAAAATGCCCTCAAATTAATTGCTCATACACACATAACTATAGTATGCTAGTTGGATGTGGGTATATTCAGGCAAAAAGAAAAAAAGTATTTAAAGGATCTACAAACTGAGGTACAGGGTTTCAGGATAAATCCTAAGGGGATTTGACTGACCTTGTCAGATACAAAAGTTACATTTCTTGTTATATAGGTCTTGCTTCATCTTAGTCTTAACCATCCAGCAGAAAAGTATAAAAATGAATTATAAAAAGTAAAGCCACAGGGGGCCGGGGAGATGGCTCAGTGGAATAAGCGCTTCCCCAGCAAGCGCAAGGGCCTGAGTTCAATCCCCGGTTCCGCAAAAAAAAAAAAAAAAAAATGTAAAGCCATATTAATATGCTGAGCTGTAAAAGGCTCAAGTCAACAACTTCTGACATTGCCAGTCCTACTATTATGGACTACTGAACTATATTGGAATATTTTGCTGAATTCATGCACCTACAATATTTATTCAGTTTATTTTAATTAAAAAAATTTTTTTTGGGTGGAATTGGGGATTGAACTCAGGCCTTTGCGTTTGTCAGGGACAAACTTATTCCATTGAGCCATCTCCCCAGCCCTGCACCTACAATATTTAAATGACAATGGAATATCCATCTCTGACAAAACTAAGCAAAAAAAGGGGATACAAATGAAGGACTAGGGGGCCTGCCCCTTAGCTCAGTTCTTTAAGTGGCTGCTTCAACAAAGCAGTCAGGCTCAGGTTGCTGGGGTTTGATCCCCACAACTCAAGC